ATCATCAGCATCATCATCAGCATCGTCAACATCATCATCATCATCATCATCATCATCATCATCATTATCAAGGCACCATCATCACCACCATCATCATCACCATCACCATTACCATCACCATCACCATGACCATGACCATGACCATGACCATGACCATGACCATGACCATGACCATCATCATCATCATCAGCATCATCATCATCATCATCATCATCATCATCATCGGGAAACCGACGGGACATTGGCGGGACACCGGCGGGACACCGCGGGCCACCGGCCCCCGGAGAGGAATCATTTGGTCTGGCCGAGCCTCAGCCAGGCTCCCGGAAAGGAATCATTTGGTCCAGCCGCGCCTCAGTCGGAGGAGACTTTCTTCTCGCCCGCCCACGCAGCTTCGCCTCGCCCGCACGCGCGGCACGCACGAACACGAAACCGAAACCGATTTCCCGATAGGGGGGCTCTCCGTTCCGCTTCGATCTCGCCCCCTCACCTCCGACAGTTTTCGAATCTTGATTTTTTTGTAAGAAAGAAGTCTCCAGGCTCGAAAGCGTCCTCTAGGGCTGGGCCCGACCCCCGGGGCTGCGAAAACACAAAAAAACTGTTCTGGACCCGAAGCATTTTTTTGGTTGAGGTCCCCAGGCCCGAAAACGTCGTCCAGGACTGAGCCGAAACCTCAAGCCTCCGAAAAATACTAAACTAAACTTTTCGGGGCCCGAGCAGTCTTTTAAGAGGTTCCCAGGCGCGAGCGCGTCCTCCAGGGCTGGGCCGCGACCCCCAGGGCTGCAAAAAATCTTAGCGCGGACGCAGCATCTTCGCCAAGGACAAACACAGGCGCAAACAAGTGGCACGTGCGCCATGGCTCTTGCGCAAAAAGGAAGGGGGAGGAGGAGGATGTGGAGGAGGAGGGGGGGGGGGGGAGAGGATGCCAGACATCGCAGAAGGAGTGAACAAAACAGGGCCGCAAGAGGGGCTCCAGAGGGCGAGCGCGAGGAGACTCCAAGGGCCGTCCCCCGCAAGATGGCTTCAAAGACCTTTGACGGGTTCCCAGGAAGCCTCCAACTGACGCCCGAGAAGCCTACAGAGGGTTCCAAGGGGAGGCCTCCAGGGTCCAAGGAGGGCTGGAAGAAATTACTGAGCGGACTCAGCTGCTGGGGGCTCGCGGTGCAAAGTGCGCGGCGGCCTTGTGTTGCGAACGCTTGTCCAAGGCAGTCGCTTTGCACGCAGAGTCTGTCGGGTGTATTCTCGGGGGCCGGCTATGCGCCACTTGAATGGGGGCCTCCCCCACAGACCAGACTTTCGGCCCGGGGCGGCGGCGGCGACGACGACGGCGACGACGGCGGCGGCGTCGGTGGCGACGGCGGCGACGGCATCGGCGGCGTCGCGGGAAGAGAGAGGGGGCGGGTAGGGAGGGCGAAAGGGGCAGGGCTGAGCGGGGGTGGTGAGAGGGCCGCCGACGGCGGCGACGGCGTCGGCGGCGGCGCGGGAGGTGAGAGGGCACGGGCGGGGAGGGCGGAGGGGGCACTGGGCGGGCGCTCGAGCCGCGGGGGAGCGCTCAGACGGCGCGGGGGGGGCGGTGGGGCACTGGGCGGGCGCTGGAGCCGCGGGGGGGCGCTGAGACGGCGCGGGGGAGGGGGCGGAGCGGGGGGGGGGGTGCGGTGCCGAAATAAAGTGGTCGAGGCGGAGGGGGCACTGGGCGGGCGCTGGAGCCGCGGGGGGGCGCTGAGACGGCGCGGGGGAGGGGGCGGAGCGGGGGGGGGGTGCGGTGCCGAAATAAAGTGGTCGAGGCGGAGGGGGCACTGGGCGGGCGCTGGAGCCGCGGGGGGGCGCTGAGACGGCGCGGGGGAGGGGGCGGAGCGGGGGGGGGTGCGGTGCCGAAATAAAGTGGTCGAGGCGGAGGGGGCACTGGGCGGGCGCTGGAGCCGCGGGGGGGCGCTGAGACGGCGCGGGGGAGGAGGCGGAGCGGGGGGGGGTGCGGTGCCGAAATAAAGTGGTCGGGGCGGAGGGGGCACTGGGCGGGCGCTGGAGCCGCGGGAGGGCGCTGAGACGGGGCGCTGAGACGGAGGGGGCGCATGAGATGTGGATGATGATGATGATGATGATGATGATGATGATGATGGGGGGGGGGGGCGGTGCCGAAATAAAGTGGTCGGAGCTCTAGACACCCTGTGCAAGAGAATAAACGCATACCCGAACACATGCGAACACCAAGCGAACACTGAAATTACAACCGGACACTTACGAACACATGCCGAACCCGGTGATTACAGCCGCGATTTTCCGAACAACGGTCCGAACAAGTGATTGCCCCGCCGAACAAACATGATCGACCCACGAACCCGGAAAGGAATATAGAAATGTAAGGCATTGCAACATTTCAAGGACACCTGATTGGGCGACGGGCACATGCAATGCTGAATGTATCTATGATGATGTACTGTGCCGAAGACTGTGCTGTGCTACGCCGTGCTGAACTGCGATGTGCCATGCCGCGATTGTGCTCTAGATAGCTTTGTGGATCGAGTCCTCCCTGGCATCTGAGTCCTCACCGAACTGATCTGGAGCGTAAGCTCGAGCTGCCTGAGCAGATGGAAGCTGCCGCAGAACAAATCGACAGAGGGAACATGCCAGGAGGACGCGCCGCGGAACGTCCCAAGGGACGCGCCAGGCGACGTGCAAGGGGACGTGGCATGGGCACGCACCGCGGGACGTGCCAAGGGGCCGCGCTACGGAACGTGCCAATGGACGTGCCGAGGGACGTGCCAGGGGACGCGCCGCGCGACGTGCCAAGTGGACTCGCCACGGAACGCGCCAAAGAACGTGCCAAAGTGCATAGTTGAGTGTATCGATCTTGATGTACCGTGCCGACGGCTGTGGTGTGCTGCGCCGTGCTGAACTGCGATGTGCCATGCCGCGATTGTGCTCTATATAGCGTTGTGGATCGAGTCCTCCCTGGCATCCGAGTCCTCACCGAACTGATCTGGATCGTAAGCTCGAGCTGCCTGAGCAGATGGTAGCTGCCCCAGAACAATCGACAGAGGGAACATGCCAAGAGGACGCGCCGCGGAACGTCCCAAGGGACGCGCCAGGCGACGTGCCAGGGGACGTGCCATGGGCACGCACCGCGGGACGTGCCAAGGGGACGCGCTACGGAACGTGCCAATGGACGTGCACCGCGCGACGTGCCAGGGGGACTCGCCACGGGACGCTCCGCGGAACGTGCCAGGCAACATGCCAGGCTGCAATGCTAAGGGTATCGATATTGGTGTACCGTGCCGAGGGCTGTGCTGTGCCTGAGCGACCTGGACACGTGAAAACACGCGTTTCGCTCAAGACGTTGTCAGCACATCCGCATGCTAGACATCCGCCTGGGCCACCTGGACACGTGCAAACAAGCGTCTCGCTCGAGACATCCTCAAGACCTGGGCACGTGAAAACAAGCAATCCACTTGAGAGATCCTCAGAATTCAGGTCTCCAGGAGAGGACAATCTATAACACAAAACCAGCGTTTCGCTCGAGACATCCTCAACACATTCTGAAAAACAAGCGTTTCGCTCTAGATATCCTCAAATTTTAATTCGCCGACCCTACGCGACCTCGTTATTTATCGCAGAAGAAAGTAGCCGGCCCTACAGCCGTCAAAACCGGGGGTAAACCTACTAAAAGAGAACCCTGGGCCTATGCCCTTTCCGGGAAAAAATCACATACGAACACATGTGCCGAACACAACCGAACAAGTGGTTACAACATGCTAAGCTTATCTATACGGGTATTGCCTTTTCGCCTTCGGCATGCATGTTTTCCCATCTGCGGGGCCCACCGTGACTCCCGCTCTGCGGGCTCGCACATCGTATTCAAGCTAGCAAGCACAACATGGATTTGAACATTTTGTGACGAAGCGAATGCGCGTCCGTCGAAGACGGGCGAACGTGCAAGCAATAATCACGGCACGCATTTATCTAACTCATGACGTGTTTTGCAATAGAAAGCCCGCGAACATTGGGCAATGTCACAACGAAACATACACGTGTTTGTTGCGTACGAACAGCGCATCTCCCATTCTGATAGAGGGAGGGCTGGCGGCAGACGGCGAATCCTTTACGGACGCTCACCAGGTGGAGCGGGACGTTGTCTTGTGTGAATACGAAAAGATTTCGCGCAAACAGAATGTACAAACGATCATGGGGCAATCGAAGGGCCATTGAGCCAGATTTGCCCAGATTGAAGTCGATTTTCAGCCCGACTGAACAAGATTAGGCGGAATTAAACTGAGACCAACGGGATTCTGCGGGATTCGGAGATTTGGCCATGGCTATACCAACTCCGAAACTGAAATTGAACGTCCCAGGAAACACAAAAAGGTGCTGAGACCGCTGCTTCGCAGACATCTCCCAAGGTGCTTTTTTTGACCAGGACCTGGAGGCGACTCCAGCCGTGGCAGCGAGGCACGGGCCGACTCAGGACCCGCCCGAATCGACCAAGCCGCCCGTTGATTAAGACTCGCCCGTCCGCCTGCGCCCCCCCCATTTGTATCCGGATCTGTGTATGGGCGGGGGCCAACACGTAGATCTCTCACCTTTGCGCTCCACGCGGCGCGAAACGCGGTCATCTCTGCGCTCTCGCGCGGCCACCCTGGAGACAAGCGGCTCTCGGGCCCATGCCGCGAAGAGCGGCTGTACATATTTGCGCATCCGCGCGTTCTTTAGACAAAGGTGAATGATTTCGATGTGCCACTGCGGCTGGTTGGCCGAGGACGGCGAAGGCGAGGACCTGGACTTGGCGTGAAGGTCTTACGCGGCGATGGTACTGCGCTGAGCGGCACGAGCGCGTGATTATGAGAAGTGGACACCCCCTCTCGTCTGCATCTGGTCCTCCTTTTCCTTTTCCTGCACTGCCTCCATCTGCTGCTCTTCCTTCTCATGCACTGCCTTCATCTGCTGCTATTGCCCCTCCTGCTGCTCGTCCTCCTCCTCCTGGTCTGGTCCCTTCTGCGCCTCCTACTCCTCCTGCTCATCCTACGCACTTTGTCAGTGCAGCGGGACGCGATATACCATACTCCTGCTGGGAATCCAACCATTGCAAAAGCGACCGCACCAAAAGCAAACATATACCAGACTGCGCATCTTTGCCAGCCCGCAGGAATCATCACCGCAGCGCTGGCACTTCTCCTGCTCCTGCCGAAGATACCCTCGGCCAAGCACATGGCCAAAAATAAACGTGCGACCAGGGTGCGAACACGTAAAACACGATGATATTGAACAGCCGAGCTTCGGGAAATAAACAAGGTGCACGTGCTGTCACGCCACCGAGCGGAGCACACGCGGTCACACGGCACGTTCACGTCGCGATGACTTGCGCGCTGTTGTCTGACACAGCGTGGATCGTGGCGCCATAAAGATCGCGGCTTTCTAATAGCAAATCGTTCGATGTCATTTGGGCCCAATCTACTAAAGGAATTCGACATCGCACGCCCGCGCTGGAGTCGTCGCCGCGTCAACGCGGCGCGAACCTGCTGCGGTTCTTCGAAACCATGCCTACAAGGTATCACACACGTATCGGATGGAAGGTAAGATTGACGCGAAACGGAGACCCCTCATCGAGAAATGTGTTTCGGTTTCCTGTTCGTGTCGTGCGCGCGAGGCGAAGCTGCGTGCATGGGCCGTTGCCAAAAAGAACTCCGAACAACAGACTATCATCCCGTTAGGTTGGCGGATTGGGCACTTAGTTGTCGGGCACTCAGTTGTCCCGCGGTTGTCCCGAAATGCCTCTCAAGTAGGCTCTGGAGGTTTAAGAGGCCCAAGTGAACCTCCAAGAGGTCCCCAAGATCCTCATCATCCTTCTTTTCATCCCTCGTTCCACGAAAGGTTTACACAACGATAGATGGGGGGAAACAATCCGATAGCATGGCCGAGCTCTGGCCACGACCTTCGGCCGCATATGCGCTTCCGAAGAGCAAGGGCCAACGGTGATTCGTTGTAGGCGTCTTCCCGCCACCCCCTGTGGCTTGCCGTAAAACAACGTGTCGTGGTGAACTTCTGAATGGCTTAACGAACTCTCAAAAAGCTCTAGGCCCAACCCGCCAGCCACCCGGAACGCTCCCAAATCTCGTTCTCCATTGACCCCATCGAAACGAAGACGGCCCAAGATGGCCTCCAAGACTGCCAAAATGGCCTCCAAGACGACGGTCACAAGATGTCTCTAGTACGGGCCGAGATGCCCCAAATATTACCCCATATGGCTTCCAAGTTGCCCAAGACGGCCTGGGAGGCCTCCAAGACGGCCCAAGAGGCATCTGAGAGGACCTCCAAGAACGCCAACGGAGGCTGACTTTCTTGATTATCCGTGGGTGATTGGAATAACTTTGGCGTTTGCTCATTCCCGACTTCCCCGATGCTGGGATGGCCCAAGACGGCCCTAAATGCCACCAAACTGGCCCCAAGAGCGCACAAACAGCTTCCGAGATGGCCTCCTGACGGCCCAATAAGCCCCCAAGACGGCCCCAAGAGGCCCCAAGACGGCCCAGGAGACCCTCAAGACGCTCAAATGGTAACCCAACAGGCCCTGGAGCACCCGCCCACTGGTCGGCTTCCGACGACGTCAGACGGGCCAGGAACGCCTTCAGTCGGCCACGGAGCCTCCCAAGGAACCTCCAAAGTCCCCCACGAGGCCCAAGGAAACCCCCAAGAGGCCTCCAAGAGGCCCCCCAGTACGCCCCTAGGAGGTCACCAACGTGCCCAAGAGGCTCCCAAGATGCCTCCTCCTCCTCCTCCTTCTCCTCCCCCTCCTCCTCCTCCTCCTCCTCCTCCTTCCTCTCCTCCTCTTCTTCTTCCACCCCACGTGTTCTCCCAAGGGCTTCCACAACGGCTGGGGGAGCACGTAGTCCGATAGCTTGGCCGAGCTCTGGCCGCAACGTTACGTTCGGCCACATCGCTTCGTTCAGAGTGCAGGGGGCGGCGGTGAGTCGCCGTTGGCGTCTTCGATCCGCCGGCTCCTGTTGGCTTGCCACAGGTGAGCATTTTTTTATTCGGCGCTTCGACATTGGGCGGAAGGGAGAGGGAGTGGGGGGGTCTGGCTCCAGACCTCTGCTTAGTGCGACTGTTTACAGCCGTGGGTCCTATGAAAAGAGACTCCACCTGCTCGCCAAGGTCCACTTCACGGGGGGATGGGGGGCGAGGACCCACGCCGATCGGCAAAACAACGAATAAGAGAACGACGACCAGGGGTACACGGCGTGCTGTGTTTGAGGTGATCTTTGATCATCTTCGAACAAGTCCCAAGAGGGTTTTCGGCCGCTCGCGCCAGCCCTGCGGGACAGAGGGCTCCCGTTGGCATTCTTGGAGGCCTCCTAGATGGGATCCGAACAAATGGGGCCGAAGGATCGCGCCGCATTGCCAATGCATCGCCGATGTATCGGTGATGCATCGGCGACGTCGGCGTGGGAAACCACGGGCTCTACATCGAACCGCATCGTCGACGCATCGGCGATGCGGCGCGATCCTCCGACCCCATCTACTCGGACCCCATCTAGGAAGCCTAATAATTCTGCCTCGTAAAAAGTCTCAAGATGTCTCCAAGACGGGACGAAATGCTCCCAAGATGGCCTCAAGATTGCTCGAGAAGCCCCCAAACGCCACAGGAGGGCCCCATGAGGACCTCCACGAGGCGAACATGATTGATACCCCTTGGGGTCCGCTTCCAACGCTGCAAGACATCCCACAGGCCCCCAACGCTAAAGACATCCCACAGGCTTCCCAACGCCAAACAACATCCCACAGGCTTCCTTTTTCGCGCTCCCAACGCTAAAAAGCACCCCGCAAGCCCCAAACGTTAAACGACATCCCACAAGCTTCCAACGCTAAAGAACATCCCACAGGCTTCCCGGTTCGGGCTCCCAGCGCTAAAAAGGTATCCTGCAGGCCCCCAGGATCGGCCCAAGAGGCCCGCGAGACGGCTCAAGAGCGCCCCAAGACGGCCCCAAGACGGCCCAAGGGGGCCCCAATAATGCCCAAGAGGGCCCCAAGAGGGCCCCAGAGGGGCCCCAAGAGGGCCCCAAGACTACCCAAGAGGGCCCCAAGGCTGCCCAAGAGGCCCAAGCGCCAGCAGAGGGACCCACGACTGCCCAGAGAGGGTCCCAGGACGGCCTCCGAAGGCCAAGAGGCCCATTAGAGGCCTCCAGGAGGCCCCAGGAGGACCACAAGACGCACCTCAGAGGCCACCAAGAGGCCCCCAGGAAACTCTCAGGAAGCCCCAAGAGGGCCTCGAGAGACCTCCTCCTCTTCCTCCTCCCTCCTCCCTCCTCCCTCCTCCTCCTCCTCCTCCTCCTCCTCCTCCTCCTCCTCCTCCTCCCCTTTTTCCACCGCATCCCCTCCTTCTCCCCCCCCCCCCCCCCCCCTCCCTCCTCCTCCTCCTCCTCCTCCTCCTCCTCCTCCTCCTCCTCCTCCTCCTCATTCATTCACCGAGAGTATGCGCGCCAGGGGCATTCACACACACAATCCATGAGAGATGAAACACACAGCACACGCACTCATTGGTGGGTGTCTCGAGCGCGCTCACGCTGCTTCTGCTCGAGAAGGGCACGTCTCTCGCCGATCATCTGATCAAGGCGATCAGTGTTGAGACCGAAGTGTGCCAGCAAAGGGTCAGTTTCAAGCCACGGGCCCCGAATCTCGATGGAAGCCCGAGGCAGGTTTTTGGTCCAGAACAACATGCCGCGCCTTGGGCGCGAGTAGGCCCATCAAGGCCAGGGGCGAGGTGGCCTTCCAAGGCCCGACGGTCCAGCCAGCATATTGTTTGGAGCCACAAGGAAACTTGCCTTCTCCCGCTCGCTTGAGCTGGCGGGTGAAGGTGGTGGCGGGGCGGCCGTCGCACCGCCTCGCCAGGGGTTGAATTCCACCCCATGCATATCCACCACAGGAGCGACATATAAAGACTTTGCTACTCTTGGGAGGGGGGGGAGGGAGGCCCGACCCCAGAAAGACACTGGCCTCCTCGATGGTGTGCCCCTGGAGCACGGCGAAAGCCTCGAGCTCGCCAGTCACTGCTGCGTTGAGGATGCGCCGCCGCTGCGATCGGGCCTGGATCGCCGACGGTCGCGGCGCCCTCGGGCGCACATGGGCCCCCTCCCCCCGTCGCCCCCCCCCCCCCCCCGTCCCGAGGCCGAGGAGGAGGGGGCGTTAGAGAGTCGAAGGCCTCAGCCTCAGCCATGTGGGACTTCCTGGATGGCAGCCCACTTGGCGAAGCCTTTGGCGGCCTCCTGGAGGCTATCAAGCGCATCATACCCTGGGCTGGGATCGGGGTGGAGAGCGGCACCCTTACCAGCATAGATGTCCGCCGCCCTATTTCCAGCCCAGCAGAAATCCGAGATGCGGCCTTCTGCCACCGCGCTCTACGGGAGGTGGGCCTTCACCTTGACCGCCCTCGCATCAGGCAGGCTACGGTGGACTTCTTCCCAGATGCGGCATCTGGGATTCGCAGCGCTACATGCGCGGCTTGGGTCTGAGACACAATCGACCGCACCCTGACAGTCAATATAGAACGTGACATCACCCTGCACCAGCCCACGCGCTGCCATTAAAATGGCCACATCTTCACCATCGCGGGCAGCTTGGAACGGACCGAGGTGCCACGGCACGGGACCATATGCGGCGGCTAAAATCTGTCCGTCATCACCCAGCTGCACAAGACTCCAGCCCGCCCTCCTTGCCAGGGGGCAGGTCGGAAAGATGGCCGAGCCATCCGAAACAAAAAAACAACCCAGTCATAAAGCCACACTCTGGTTTCTGAACCCAGACAACCTCGGACCCCGAATCCCAGAGGGGCCGAGGGGCCAGCTCCAGGGGAAAAGGAAAAAGGCCGCAGGCGGCCTTGCCCAGGTCCTGACCAGTGAGCTGCATAGCCGCAGCCGCTCTGAGCATTCCAGGAGAGACATACTTAGCACGGAGGTCGTGCCAATGCTCACAATGGATTCGGCGATGCCAGACCGTCCCAGGACACTTGCAGCACAACTGGCAGACATCTGTCTCCGCCTTGCCGTGCCTGGCTTGCTTGGCCTGGCGCCATTGCTGCTCGCTGACAAGTGATCGGGGCGACTCCTTGTGTCGCTCAGTCCAGTCATCAGTGGTGGGCCCAGACAGGAGCTGTACAAGGGGCTTCCAAAACACGGGGCGGACCCAACCACATTCGTCCAACCTTGCGAGCGCCATGACATCCGACAGGCTACTGGCGGCTCGGGCCGCCATCCATTGGACCTGTCTGGGTCCGAGCTGGCGAAGGTCAACTGCCTCCACAGTATCAATGACAACCTGGGCCGCTGAGGGGGCCAACCATCCTAACTGCTGCAAAGTGAGAACGTATATATGGGCCGGGCTGGAAGCAACACTCCAGGGATTCTGAGCCTGGCTGAGGTCTGCAGCTGCCCCCTCTAAAGTGCTGTGGAGGATATGCAGGGGAGGCCGACCTAGCCAAACTGCCCTAGCCCAGTGCCCCACCACCTGAGCATGATAAAGCCTCTGTGGGTCCATCAGGCGGCCCACTCTGGTGGTCCCCAATTTGAGTCCAATTGAGGCCCCCTTTTTAACCTTATGTAAACTATGCACAGTGGAACGGCGGAGGCCAAGAAACTGCTTCACCGACAATCCAGAAACGCCCGAGCCCCACAAGGCCGTCGCGAGGGGCC